TGGCTCAAGTGGTAGAGCGCTAGCCTTGAGCTGAAGAGCTGAGGGACAGCGCCCAGGCCCAGAGTTCAGGCCCCACAACCAGACCCAAAAATAAAAAAAAAGATGAGATGCCATAATGCCACAAGATATCTTAATCTGATTACTCCATAAATCTAGGCAATATCATTTTGTCATTGCATCTTTTTACTAATGTATAATTTTGATGCTTAGTGATTCATTTAGTTGACATGTACTATTACTTGTAAAATCAATAAACTTTTGGCTGCAATTGAGTAGGGTTTTTGGTTGTATTTTCTTTTTTTCTGAGAATGGTTTTTTGATGCCAGTCCCAGGAGTTGAACTTAGCCTGGGCACTGTCCCTGACCTTTGTCCACTCAAGAATAGCACTCTACCACTTGAACCACAGCTCAACTTAAAACTTTTGGGTAGTCAGTTGGAGATAAGCGTTACATAGGACTTTCTGCCTCTGATGGCTTTGAACCAAGATCCTCAGAACTCAGCCTCCTGAGTAGCTTAGATTACAGGTTTGAGCCATTGGCAAGAATGGATTTAAAGCCAGTGTCTATGAAAGAGTGACTCTGGGCTGCTGAGTTAAATGCTCTCAACTACTTGCAGCCCAACAGCTTATTTTTAATAAAACTTCACTTATTTTGCAATGAAATTCACAAGTGTAATTTCTAAAAAATACTAAGTGTCATTACCAGGTGTTTTTTATTTTTTGTTTGGAGGGGACGGGTGGTCGTAGGCAATGTCCCTGAGCTTCTTGTTCAAGGCCAATGCTCTAACATTTTAAGCCACTTCCAGTTTTTAGGTGGTTAATTGGAAATGTAAGAGTCTTAGGGACTTTGCTACCTAGACTAGCTTTAAACTGTAATCCTGAGTAGCTAGGATTACAGGTGTGAGCCACTAGTACTCAGCTGGGTTTGGTCATTTTTTTTATTTTTTGTCGGTCGTGGGGCTTGAACTCTGGGCCTGGGTGCTTTCCCTCAACTCTTCAGCTCAAGGCTAGGGCTCTACCACTTGAGGCATGTGCCACTTCCAGTTTTCTGGTGGTTAATTGGAGATAAGAGTCTCACAGACTTTCCTGCCTAGGCTGGCTTTGAACCACAGTCCTCAGATCTCAGCCTCCTGAGTAGTTAAGAATATAGGCATGAGCTCTGGTTTGGTAATTTTTAAGATAAGTTCTCATTTCCTGCCTATGCACATTCCTGGATAAATTCCTAGGGCCTACTCTACATCATTTAAGTCTGAATCTGTATGGATGGGGTACAGGCATTGATGAATATATATTGTGAAAATAACCTGGAATGTCTTCTGCTTTGTTTTCAAGATTAAAATGTTCGCTAGTGTTAAAATGATCTCTTTCTTCTTTTCATTTCCTTAGGGGCCTGACATACAAGGAATCGGGGGTAGACATTGCAGCTGGAAATATGCTGGTTAAGAAAATTAAACCTTTAGCAAAAGCCACCTCAAGACCAGGTCAGATCCTATACTTTGCTAATTTGTTAACAGATACCGTGAATTGATTTTTGCTTTATATTTAACTTAGGACATTTTTTAAAACTAGTATTAGATTCTTCTGAGTGTCAGTCTACATAAACCAAACTCATGGTCTTCTGCCTTCTTGGTCAATTTTTTTTTTTTTAAATCGGTCGTGGGGCTTAAACTCTGGGCCTGGGCACTGTCACTCAGCTCTTCAGCTCAAGGCGAGTGCTCTACCACTTGAGCCACAGCGCCACTTCCAGTTTTCTGGTTGTTTTATTGGAGATAAGAGTCTTACAGACTTTCTTGTCCATGAGCTGGCTTGGAACTGTAATCCTCAGATCTTAGCCTCCTGTGTAGGTAGGATTATAGGCATAAGCCACCAGGTGCCAGCCTTGGTGAATTCTTTTTTGTGTGTGCACCAGTACTGGTACTTGAACTCAGAACTGGGCACTATTTTTAGATTCTTTGCTCAAGGCTAACACTCTACCACTGAAGATAAAAGTCTCATTTACTTTCCTGCCCTAGCTGGCTTCAAAACATAATCCTCAGATCACAGCCTTCTTTATAGCTAGGATTACGAGCATGAGCCTATAGTTAATTGATCAGTACTTATGAGTAAATGGTACTCCCTCCCATCATCTTGTTATTTTTAAGCCATTTTAAAAAGTCATGAATATTCATGCTCAACTAATGTATTACAATGCAGCAAATAACTGATTTCCTCTCCAATAGGCTGTGATGTTGACCTTGGGGGGTTTGCTGGACTCTTTGATTTGAAAGCAGCGGGTTTCAAAGATCCTCTTCTGGCCTCTGGAACAGATGGTGTTGGGACTAAACTGAAGGTAAAAACTGAATAACAATAAGAAGGAATTTCCTATTTATCAGACATTTTTCTTTGTTTTTCTATTAGCATACTAATTAACTGTACCATGAAGTTTCATTTGATGAAACCATACATGAGGCATTGGACACATTTCCCCTTCTATTACTTTCTTTTTTTTTTTTTTTGTCTTTTCTTTTTTGGTACTGGGGATCGAACCCAGGACGTTGCGCTTGCTAGGCAAGCGCTTTGCCACTGAGCTACATCACAGCCCATTCTATTACTTTCTTATCCTTTACTCCCTTCTCCCCACTTGTATTTACAGTTTTAATGGGTTTCATTGTTGTGTTTTTATACATCCATATGAAGTACTATATCACATTTATCTCTCCCTATCACCCTCTCCTTTCCATCTCCCACTATTTAGCTCTCAAATAGTCCCCCTTTTTTAATCATGTCTATATTCCCCATACAAATACATACTTGTCTTATGTAAGAGCTAAAAGAACCATGCCAACTCACTAAATTTTAACCCTTTGTCTACTATATCTACTATATTGTTGAGGCTATATTTAGAAGGAATTTTGAGGAATAAAAAAGATGACTTGGCATGAAATAGCTTCTTGGAATTTAGTACTCTTGGGTGTCACAAGCAACCAGCCAGTTGTAGTATTTGTTACCTTCTGTGGGTAAACTGAGAAGATGCCCATGGAGCCTATTTTCTACTGTGGTGTTGTTCTTCTATAGATTGCCCAGCTGTGCAATAAACACGATACCATTGGTCAAGATTTGGTTGCCATGTGTGTAAATGACATTCTGGCTCAAGGAGCAGAGCCTCTCTTCTTCCTTGATTACTTTTCCTGTGGAAAACTTGATATCAATACAACTGAAGCTGTTGTTGCTGGAGTGGCTAAAGCTTGCAGACAAGCTGGATGTGCTCTTCTTGGTATGGTTTTAACTGCAGATCCTTTTCTCTGTGTGTCAGTCTTAATGTATCAGTAAAATCAGTGCCAGCCTAGCTAGTGAGAAACTACATCACCAGACATGGCAAATGGAATCTAGATTAAACTACCTGAATTAACACATGGAAGTATGGCTTAGTGGGAAAGGCCTTGCCTAGTCAGCTCAAGGCCGAGTTCAAGCCCTAGTACCACAAAGGGGAGAAAACAAAACAACTACCTGAATTCATCTTAGACTATGCCATTCAACGACCCTCTGCAAGTATTTGTCCCTCAGACCTGCTCACCCAGCCTGTTGTGTATGCTTAAGTTCCTCCCCACTCTTAGTCTACCTTTTCCCAGGGTAGGGGTTTTTCCTCTTTCGTAGGCCCTCACTGGACAAATGGGCTCCTGGCATTACAGTTAGTAATGTCATATTTTCTAGCCAGATTACCTAGGTTTTATAGAACTATTGCTTAACTTATACATGACACTTTTCTCTAAATTTGTTTGTGAACCAAGGCACAAAAGTGATATTATTTCTGTGAACAAATTGGGTATAAAAAGCCAAAATTTACCATTTCACCATGTTTCAGAGCACAGTTTTTAATGTGGAGTCTGCCAGCCTTTACTCTCTGCCTTTGTATGTTGATTGCAAAGTATTCACTGCTGTACGTAGTGGCAAAGACATTTGGAGTTGGCAGTCCTAAATTACTTCTCTAAGCCTTGGCCATTACCTGGGAGATGGAGTGATGGTAAAGGTTTTGTGAGTACAAAAGCATTTCTGAAACCAAACTATTACAGAAATGATGCACGATTCCATAGCAGTGGCCATGTTGGGAAGCTGCATATAGACTGACAGAACTGAGACTTCATCTGTGTCTTCCTTGCAATCATGCTTGGTTGATCATTCAGTCAGACAGCTAATAGAACATAGGATCTTAAGCGTCATGTCATAGTTGCTATGCAGATATGATGTGATGTCTTTGATCTCATTTTCCAGGAGGAGAAACAGCAGAAATGCCTGACATGTATCCTCCGGGCGAGTATGATCTGGCTGGTTTTGCTGTTGGTGCCATGGAGCGGGATCAGAAACTCCCCCACCTAGACAGGATCACTGAAGGTGATGTTGTTGTTGGAATCGCCTCATCTGGTCTTCACAGCAATGGCTTTAGCCTTGTGAGGAAAATCGTGGAGAAATCTTCCCTCCAGTACTCCTCTCCAGCACCTGATGGTTGTGGTGACCAGACTCTAGGTAAACTCGTCTTGTCTTGTTTGCAGTTAATTAGCTGAGCAGTTACTTAGGTTTAGTCTCTCATTGCCTACAGCTAGAATGGGATGAATTGTATTTTCCTATGGTTTTCCTGCTTGGACATTATTATAGAACTGGTATGTCTACCTGGGTGCCAGTGGCTCCTGGCTGTAATCCTTGTTACTCAGGAGGCTGAGATCTGAGGATTGCACTTGGAAGCCAGCCTAGTCTGTGAGACTCTTACCTCCAACTAACCACCAAAAAGCTGAAGTGGAGCTGTAGCTCAAGGGGCAGAGCAGAAGACTTGAGAGGCTTAGGGATAGCACCCAGACCCTGAGTTCAAGCCCCAGGACTGGCCACTCCCCCTCCATCCCCTCCCCCCCAACTCCACCCAAAAAAAGAACGGTATGTCTATAGCAGGTCATAGTCACTGTCCCTTTCAGAATTATTTTATATTAGTTGGGTAAGCTTGGTCTTATTTCTCTAACCTACAGGGGATCTGCTCCTAACTCCAACTAGAATCTACAGCCATTCACTGTTACCCATCATCCGTTCAGGACATGTCAAAGCCTTTGCTCACATTACTGGTGGAGGACTGCTAGAAAACATTCCCAGAGTACTGCCTCCAAAATTCGGGGTAGAATTGGGTAAGATCACTAAAGAGAACTTTTCTTCAAAGAAATGATAAACGTGTACTGTGGGAGAAAATCTCTGGGTAGTAGTTATTGCATACATGATTATACAGGGAAAGTTCTCATATTGAGGGGATTTGAAGGGAACATAGGCTGGCCCCTTTATACATCTTTTTATTCTATTTGCCACACTTAAAAGGCATAAAATCCTAACATGCAACTGGAAATAAAGACAATGTGGAATAAGCAGATCCATCCTCCAAAGGAATTAGTAACATCAGACTAAAGAAGGAGAACACTCCGTGCCTAGAAATGAAATGGTAACTATGTAATCTACACAAGAGAAAAAGGACCTCAACCCAGCAATAAAAAAGAGACAGAATGATAATTTAATCTACACTCAGAAGCAAAAGGACATCCGGGGTCAAGCCAGTGAGCAGGCAGCAGTCACGAGCACAGGAGGAGAGAGTGGGGTGCATTTTTTTAAGGTCTCTGTGTGTTTATTCCTCCATGCCTGTGGACAGAAGTTGAAATCAGCTGAAAAGAAATTGGGTGCTCGTCTGTACATAGTAAAGGGGACCAAAGGGAGTTGCTCAGAAGGAAAATTACTGGAACAGTCAAGTAGGCTGAGCCCCATAAAGGTCCCTCCCAAGGCAATCTGGGGGACATAGTTCCCTGGCAGAGCACGTCCTGAGGCCTTGTTTTCAATCCCAAGCAGCAGAAAAAGTAATGCTAAGGAAGGAAGGAATTTAACATGGTGTTTGTCAGCAGTGTAAAATACAGCACAGATCCAGGATGGGGACTAGATAGACCAGTGTATTTCAGTTAGGTCAAAAAGTGGTAGAACACCTGCCTAGCAAGCCACATGGCTTTGAGGTCTTAACTCTAGTAGGTGGGGAAGGGGACCTTCAAGTGTCGTAGGTGGTCAAATCTGTCAGAAAAAAAAGGTTTTTATTGTGTAAGGTATAGATAGATTTCTTTTTGTTATTGTAAAGGTGATATACAGAGGAGTTACAATTACCTAAATCAAGTAATGAATACATTTTTTTTGTTTTTTGTTTTTTGTTTTTTTTTTTGTCGGTCATGGGGCTTGAACTCTGGGCCTGGGCGCTGTCCCTCAGCTCTTCAGCTCAAGGCGAGCGCTCTACCACTTGAGCT